TGTGCGTGTGCATATACAAAAGTGAGTGTGCGTGTCTGTATTCATGTGTGTGTGTGCGTGTCCCTGTTTGTGTGTCGGGGCTGATTGCTCTTGACTTCATTAATCTCTGCAGTGTGGTTATGATTAGCTCTCTGAGGCATGCCAGAGGACATCTGACACACAAGCTCACACACTCACTGTCAGGTCTGGCCACCTCTCCAGCCTGTTTCTCTCACGGTCCAACCAATTAGCTGCAGTAAAGAGAAATAGACTAGCTCCTGTGGTCACTGGGCATACGCACATACACATACTTGAAAAAGGTCTGTGATATTTCAGACAGAAGAGACGAAGTCTCTGTGTGTCATATCTACAGCGAAAAACCAACTCTACAGTTTGGAAATGTGTGCAAAGTTGGAGCGGAACAAGGTGTTGCAATGCCCAGTTGGTTCTAGTAGCTTGAAAAATTAATTGGCTTAGTATATGAGGAACAAGTGATTCTAAGGTCTGCAGTGATCACATGACTTTAATAAAACCCTGAAATTAACACTCATATTTGGTCCTCTTATAAGCCCAGGTACAAAAACTGTTACATTCATTCTCTACATTACTATTATTTTGTGTGTCAAAATCAGCTTGGAGGTTAAAAAAAGATGAATAAGTAGATGCAAGAAGGGAGAACACAAAAACCAACAAAGAAACAGAACGAAGGTTAACGTAAATGAAAAATTTGACAGGAGAAAAGCAGAGAAAGACTGTAATGTTCGACAAATGGAAAAGCCAGTGGCAAAGCTAGTAAGCAATGCCAATCTGATAAAGCAAGCAAAGCAAAGCTAGAACAAGAGAACAAGGGATGAACGCGACAGCAGATGGGTAGGGGCAGATGAAAAGAACAAGTGAAGTGTAAGGACTGAAGTGCCTTAGATTGGCAGATGTCTAAGATGCAACACTACACCCTACCATGATCAGAGTGTAGACTGGATGATTTATTTTCCTTCTCCAATATTGAGTTCATGAAAAAAAAAAGATCTACATTCAATTAAACTACTGAGGGTTTTATTTTGAAAGGAGAATGTGATTGTGGGCGTGGATGTGTGGAAGTAAAGGAATGGTCATCAGATGTGGCAATCATGCAACAAAAAAGTCTTACTCATCTTACTCTATTCTTCTGGTCTTTGATTGCCATTCTGTCCATTCTCCTTTCTTCTATTTCTAATGCATACTGAACCTAGACTTGTAGATGTTATGCACAAACATGCAAATAGAAAGTGTTTGATCTGAACCATGGTTTTACTCTTTGGGGACTAAGACGGGCTTTTCTTTATTAGGCTTTTCTTAAAATACAGATTGTGCACAAAACAAAGATATTAAAACTTGCTGGAGCTAAGGGTCACACAGTTTGTAAGGGTACATTGTAAAGTGTTGGAAACTCCTGGAAAAAATCAGGTCGCGGTGGGAGAATACTGGATGTAATAACAAAAACTTTTACTTAATTCGTTTTTTAAATGAAATTAAACTGTATTTAAAATTTTAACTCAGCATTTAGTTGCAAACTGAAAACAATTAAAGTTTTTAAAAGATGTGATTTAATTGTATCATTTTTTCTAGTCTGACAACAACACATTTACATTTGTCTTCTGCTGTGTGTGTGTGTGTGTGTGTGTGTGTGTGTGTGTGTGTGTGTGTGTGTGTGTGTGTGTGTGTCAAGAGAGAGAGCAAAATGACATATTGTTGAAAAGAAGAATGAGAGGCGTAATGATGGAACAATAATACCATATGTGTATGGTAGCCTGTGTGTATGTGCTTGTATTCGTGCGCGTGCGTGCATGTGTATGTGTGTGTGTGTGTGTGTGTGTGTGGTGATGAATCTCTCATTGTGACAGTGGGGCCGGCAGCAGCGAATGTCCTTCTGGGTGGGACATACACTCACACATGAACACGCAGACACACACACATACAGAGATACAGGCATACACAGATGGAAACGACCACACTAATGGATCACCCCTGTCTGCACGCAATCCGCCACAAATAATGATGAACCACCCCTGCATTAAACTATTTTACACAATGCTCAATTCATTACTTTGCGCGCTCTCTCTCTTGCTCTCTTTCTCTCTGCTCTCCCTCTCGCTCTCTCTCCGGGTATAGGTGAGCTAATAACAGTATGATATTTCTCCTTTACCAGCAGAATTGTAGTTTTTATCCATTAGTAGGATATTAGGAATGAGGAAAGGTGGAAGGGAGGGGATGGGATGGAGAGGGAAAAATAGATGACTTTAAAAATGGTTTAAAAGCATTGCCACTATAAAAAGTAACAGCAGCCCCAGGTGGAAAATATGAAGGAACAATTTGCATAGTTTTGCAAAGAAGAACAGGAACAACTTCCCACATTGTAGCATGGCTCAAACTGAAAATGTTTAAACCATGTTTTAAAGTCTGAGCTTGTGTGTGATGAGTAATTCCATTACTTTTTTATGGAACATAATGGGAAAATCACCACTGATGAAAATGATACCAGTGGTTTATTCATCACAAAACTCATCTTGGAAATTATGCGCAGTTTACTTGGATGCTACTAAGTTTACAGTACTTGATATGAAATATGAAATCAAACCCTGAATTTTCTCTTCAAATATGGTGCCATTTGGAATTTTTTTTAGCATTTGTGTTTATTTAAAACCTAAATTAACTACTCTTTAAGTGTTTAATGCAGGTCTAAAAAAATATTTGAAACGTGAGTTAATGTGAATGAATTCAAAATTAATAATAAATTGCTGATTGTAACTTCATTAAAAATCTTTTTCCTTAGTAGAACATAATTTTGATTTTTCTTAAAGTTTTCCAGTATTTAAACTTTCAAGGAATACCTTATAATTCTTTTATTAAAAAAAAAAAAAAAAAGCATACCAGTGGGTTAATGATTAGATAACAGCTGATACAAATATCTTTTTGTCTAAAAGATATTTCCCTGCTTCACTTTGCTCAGTGTGGGATAGAAGAGAAGAAAGAGTCATTATGGATTTCAATTAAGTGATCCCTGGGCAGAGAGGGATGCGTCAGAGTGGGGGAATTAATGTGCTGCGGACAGATGTTTAATAATAATGGCCGAACTGGCCCTGCCGAGAAACACACATTCCATCCGCCGCACCCTACTGTGGTGGAAGGAACACACATGCATCGAAAGACACACAGACGGCCTTGCATACACAGACGCTCACGTATAATCAGTCACACACTGACACATACAATAATGATTCATACACATGCACTGTGTGAAGACATGTGCGGCAGTCACATAGCTACAGACACTGGTATCTGTGTGTGTGTGTGTGTGTGTGTGTGTGTGTGTGTGTGTGTGTGTGTGTGTGTGTGTGTGTATCTTTATGACCAGTGCTGGCCACAGTGCATATGGCCCTCATTTAGCAACAATGGGCATGGACAATGACTGGCGGGAAGAGCTTCCTAACTGTGAGAGGTGACTCTAGGCGTGTTAAATGACATGCCCCATATGGAGAGATGGAGAAAGAGATGGAGAGAGTATATACATGGGTAATCCTGGATAAGAACTTATCGCCTCAGTGAGCAAGGGAAATGTTTTGATTGAGAACAGACAGGAGATGAGGAAAGTAGAAAGAAAATGGAAAAGTAGAGACAGAAGACAGAACTGCTCAGAACAATACCTGGAGGATGAAAGTACACCTAAGTTGTTGGAAGGGTGTGTTGTATAGAGGAATGTGGAAAAGATGTTAGGCTGAGTCTGTAAGTGTGTCATTAGAAAGAGTGTAAACAGGATGTCTTTTTATGAAGTGGTCTCACTCTCCTTTTTGTGCTGTTCTCTCACAGATACACTCCTGGTGACACCTAATCAGTGCTGTGGCAGGACGAATAGCCTGCAGCATTTTTACAGTCTTGTCAAAAACAAAGCTTGCCCCCCCCAAAAATCTCTCTTTTCTCTCTCGCTCATTCACTCGCTCTCTTTTTCCTCACATGCGCTGTTCATACCCTCTTGTCACAACAACATTTCTCCAGTAATTACTAGGGTGGTCGCCCTCCTATCGCCCTTCGATGGATGAGCTGAGCCACCATGGGTTCAACCCCCCAGCCATAACTCTACCTAGGACGTCTGCCTACTGCTCTTCACTACTGTGGTGGCCCTCAGACAGCAAATTGGCCTCAGAGAAAGACAGAGAGACTGAAAGGGATTCTCAAACAAGCACACTGCCTAGTTCACAGAGAAACAAGCCGAGGCATGCCAGTACAAAAACACATGTAAGAGCAATGAGACAGACATATACTCATTCACTTTCACTATTTGTGGTTTCCCTGTCTCCAAGGAGTAATCTATAATACAGACAGTCTTTTGCTCTGACCACTGGCCAGACAGATATATTTCCTTGCACAAGTACAGAAATACACACACAGACACACATATACACCCTGCTTAGGTGATCATTTTGACAGGGCAATATGACTGAAGGAGAGTGGAGTGAAGATGGGGGAAAATGTGGAAGGAAGAGTGGGGAGAAATAAACTGATAACTGTATGATGAAGGGTGATAACGTCAGGAGAGGAGGGAAGTAGATGAAGGGATGGATGGAAGAAGTGAGGCAGCTGGCAGATCAATACACAGATCCACAATTTGCATCTATGAAACGGGCGCTTTTTAAAATCTCTTTTAGTTTTTTTTTAATGCCTACTATTCTTATTACTTACAAAATGTTTTTGCTTTGGTATAGTAAGTGGGAAGTGGTTTGCAGGACGAAAAAGAACATTTTTTCGTGAAGTTTTTATTTCTATCATGGATTACTTTTGGAATTTATGGTTAAATTATAATGTAAACTTGTTTGCATACAGCGCATGATATTAACCCAATTCGGTTACTGGAATCTGTTTAAACGCTTTACAATAGTCGAAATGAAAGGAAATAGACACGTTAGGAGGAACTTTCCCTTTTCCTGTGAGTTTTGAACGCATCTGCAGCACCCTGGGAAACACCTGTGTTGTCAAGACAACATGTAAACTCTCGCTTGAGTACACCGACATGGCGGAGCTGTTGAAAATAAAACGCGAATTTGAAGAGTTCCAAAAGGAATACTACTATACAAACAGGTATGGATTAATGATTTACATAACTATATATGGATACGTTTAATTGCTTTATGAGTTCTTGTTAGCAGTTTAGCAGTCAGCATTTAGCTAACATCACCCAGAACTAAGGCTAGCGTCATGCGTCTACTGTGTATGCTAATAAGCTTTTGCGGTCCTGTTTTGGCGTTACAATGCAAGTTTTTGGTTCCCTAAGAATGACAGTAATGCTCAGAAGCACCCTACGAGTAAGCCACACAAATGGGGCAAAGTTTAGCTGTGTAACTTGCCAGTAAAAATGTGTTGTTGTTGTTTTTTGTTTGTTTGTTTACGTATGAAGGACTTATTATCGCTTCTCCAAAAGGGTTTAGCTAAAGTCAAAGGAAAGTGGCGTTTAGTCTCCAAGTGTTGAAAGATTTTTCAGCCAGTTTTAATAATTGGTGTTATAATGAAGCTTAATATGCACTTTTCAGAAAATTCTTAAGTCAGCTATGATAACAATGTATTCTCTTTACTGTATATCGTGCATGCTGCCATGCGTAGTAAACTCCAATGGCTCGTTTTGAGCCAGGCGAAGAGTGATATATTTTTGTGTTTATGTATTTCAGAGAAGCTGATGAGAACAGAGAGAAGGAGAACCAGGCCGTCACCCAGATCCAGAGCTGGTTCAGAGGCTGCAAGGTGCGGGCTTACCTCAGGTATGGTATATCTCTGTGATCCGATTTGTATCTGTAATCCATAAAAAAAGACTTTTGGTGCTCATGCAAAAACAAAGCAGACATTCATTTTATTTATCAATGTAAGTGTAGTTCCTTTGGAGTTGTAAAACACTCAGACAGGCTGTAAGAGTTCATATCAAGGGAAACCCTGATATTAGCTCACTACCATAATTATCCCACTTCCAGAAGTTTGCAAATGGCCTGGAGGAATAAATGTCGCTTGCACTCTATGCTCTTTTCTCACACAGAGAAATAAATGTCTCTATCTCTGTGCTTGTTCCCATACTGTGACCCTAGCACCATTCTGCAGGGTCAGCAGACAAACTTCCAGACAGTAGGTTAATTCAGATTACTTTAGTTAATTGATCAATGCGTTAAGTGGATAATTAGCAACAGTTTTAGCTGCCTAAGTGCAACTCCGGGGTTGTGCTAGCCCCACTATAAGCATTGATTTTCTGGGCATATAAATGGCCTTTTGGAAATTGATGGCCTCATTGGAGGCAGAGAATCGCAGTGGACTTGCATTTAGAGTATGTTTGAAGATGAATACAAATGTGTACCGCTGACTATAGGAGGTGGAAGGCTCATCGGACATGATCGAAAAGCCTGGGAGAGCACGAATGGTCTATATGTGTGTGCATGTGTGTTTGTGACAGCTTGTATTTATAAGCATAATGTTTCCCTGACCTTTCATTTGAGCCTTTTCACAACCTTAAATTTGTATGCAGAAAATCACTTTCTTTTTATTGTTTTCCCTAAAAAAGAGTTTATGTTAGGAAGTTAAATTAATTGAATAATTAATAAATTAATTCTAGATAAAGGTATTTTTTAGCTTATTCATAACTATGGAAACTTTCCATTTCATGCTTTGTTAGGATTGAGCTTTCTGGGGGAGGGTTGCAGAATTGCTTAATTTCTCAGCTTAAACAACCTTGTTAATGACCAGTGAAATTTGCCTTTTACTTCCCTTACGTGTTTCTGAATAACTTTTTCCAGGGTTTCCTTCAGTTTAACTACTAAAAAAACATCCACCCAATCCTCTCCTCAATTTGATTTTATTACAGCCATCTGCACAAGAAGGCAATCATTATACAGAAGATATGGCGGGGCTTCACAGCAAGGGCACGTGTCAGACAAATGGTGAAGGTAAGCCAGTGCCTGGAACGACTATAGATATATTGATTATGCTATGATAGCACGCATTAGAATTCAATTGCTATATTCCTAAAGTCCCTGCGTCTGACCTTAAGAAATATAATTCACCCATTACACATTAGGAAATTAGCACTTTGGAAAAATGATGCATTATGATAAGGAATTCCATCTATTTCACAATTCTTGGGATGCATATAGAAAAAAGAAAAGAGTTGTGTATCTATGTGTGTATGTGTATGCTTTAGTAAAACAAGGCCCCATTTTCAGCATATTGCCTCCAACTGCTTCTTAATTGAACAGATTGTTGATACCGGATCCAATACCCAGCGCTCTCACGTATAATTTTCCCCTGGATTGAGTTTTGTAAACGTATCACAACAAGCTATTTATCATGCCTGTAAATTGACTGTTTGCTAAAGCATAACTGCCAGCCGCCGTTTGGGAGGCGTTCAAGAAATGGAAGGGTGGTGGTGGCGGGGGGGTGTTGAAATAAACAATGAAGGATGTGTCACATCACACATATGGGCTAAAAAGAGGCTGTTTGGTCTCATTTGGAAACAGACAAGCGCTAATTTGAATCACTCAAAATTGCCACAGTGCACTCTTTTGAAATTAGCCCTGAGAGATTCTACTCTTCACCTCCTTTATCTCTCTCTGTCTTTTTCTCTCTTGCGGACCTTATCGTGTATAATGTGATGTGCACAAAGCCTCTTCTCAAAACATCAAGCTGAATTTACAACCTCCTTTCAAGTCTTTGTCTTCCATCTCCTTCCTCTTTTTCCTCTCTTCCTTGTCGTTATTAAAAAAGACGTGTTGAGATATGAATCCCTTTTATGGCCCACACTCCAGTTTGCTCCTGAAATGTGCTCCCAGTGGTTGCCTGGCATGTTTGGAGTGCGATGGCTCGTTGAGTATGTTGCTGAATATTCTCTGGCCTTTTGTTAGTCTGTTCTGTGGCAGTCCTGTCATTGATTATGAAATCCAGAGGAGAGCGTTTGGCCGTCATACATCTCCATTAGCGCGCTGCTTGACTACCATAGATTTTCTTGGCCCTTGTCTGTGTTAGTGTATTAAGAGAGTACTGTCCTCCCCTTGATAGAAAGTCCCACTAACCACTCTCTCTCTCTCCTTTTTTCTCTCTTTGTCTCTGTCTCTCTTCTGCTCTCTCTCCATCTCTCTGACTTTTTCTCGTTCCTCTTGTCTCTCTTGCTTTCCCACTCTCCTTTTCTGCCCCCTTCCCTCCTCCCTCCACTCTACAGTGGCCCTATCTATGCTGCCTGTGCAATGTATTATGTATAAAGAGCTCTTTATCTTTGACGCCTGCTGTGGACAGATCAGAGGGTTGGGAGACAAGATGTAACACCATCGTTTCCTTTGTGTTCACAGGCGGCATATTTTATCATGAAGATGAATTTCTACGAGGAGATGGCGGTCAGGGTAAATATCACTACACTGTCTTGTTTTAGCAAATGGAGTGTCGTGGTGGGAGCCCCTGTGAGTAGCAGCCCATAAGCATCATATCTCTAAATTTCTTTAATCTTTTGTTGGCCATTTTTCTCCCTTTTTAAGTGCAGCATCATGTTGGTAATCCAGTATAATTTATTATTATTAAAAACCCTATAAAAATGGACAGATTTCTATATCAGAATGACCTATCATATTTATATGTCAAACCACAGCAAATATTTTATATATAACGTTAAAAACTTTTTTTTCACTTTGCTTAAATGCTCAAGGCCCTGAAATACTGTCTTTATCCCTGAACACCTACTACTGTTCAACTCATAAATCATAGCTCTGTGGCTGTGAGTGATGCTTTGGCACTTTTACACAAGGATATTGCCTAGAAATCTTATATTTTAACAATTCCATATAGGCCTTCTCTTTTGGTGAATAGTTTCATGCCTAAACCGTTAAAGGGTTTTATAGACCAACAAAAGAATTTGCCAGTGTTTATTGAAGAGAGAGATTCACTGTCCAGCTGGAAAGAGATGTTTATAATATTTTCGTATTGGTGGAAAAGCTGGGGAACTGTGGGCTTTACGTTTTACACATAATAGGAACCCAAACAAATAAAGCTCACCCCCTGCTTTTACAATAAATTTCACATTATAGGAGAGACATAGATTCACAAATAATGTTTGACCCAGCTGTTTAGGTCACAGGGTGAAAGTTCAGAGGTGATGTTGACATGTAGTCCAAAAGAGAAGCTACTGAAATAAGAGACCTATGTTATCTATGAAAATAGCCACAATTTCCTATAGGAGACAATAGGAATTTTAATGGAGAACTGTGTTAAAATGACTGGTGCTTAGAGGTTACCAATGCGAGAAAGTACTGGGTTTAAACCCCAGAAGGGCCAAGTGAGCCTTTTCTGCGCTGAGTGTATCCTCTGTGTCTGTCTGGGGTTTTTCCGGGTGCTCCAGTTTGCTCCCACTGCCCTTGACCAAGGCTTTAGCCTCATATGTGAAATTGGTCCCTTGGTGTTGGACTGTGTACTGCCCACAGCGCCTAAAGAGAAGTCATGGGGCAAATCCAAAGACAAAAATTCTCAAAACAGATTGATTACATGTGACTTTAGACTTTAGAAATAATAAATTAAAGGACAATAAGGGAAATACATGCAGTATCTGGCCTTTTTTATGATGCCACCTGTTGAAACTTTTCTACTATTTACACCAGACATACAGATATAGTACTTAATACCTGCAATATAAATCTTGATCCCACGTCTTCTGACACATACTCTGTACTTTCTCGACTTCAGTGTTTGTGCTGTTTCAATATGACCTGACATTTGTACTTTTTTGCCAAATAAGTATATATTGTATAAATGAAAAAAAAGAAACCCACAAAGCACACCCAACACATACAATCATCTGAGAATCCCCTTGTGACATTTTCTTTAAATCAATTTTAACTCTATTTCTTTTTCTCTCCCCTCCTGATGTCTTTATCTTGGTGTGGTAGCTAACAGAGGATAATGTATTAAGGCCGTAATAGAAACCAGTGTTTACATGCCGCACCTCGTATTTGTATTAGATTCAACAGCATCGATTTCACTAGTCAACAAAGGTCAGCAAGAACTCGGGAGGCGGCAATTACTTTATTTAAAATTATCTATTGACTGGCAGATCAATGCTAATTCTCATTTTGCTCTTTGTTGTTTTTCCCTATCCTTTACTTCTCCTCTTCTTTCTTCTTCCCTCTTCTCATACCGTGATTATTCTTTTACCTGCCATTGTTTTAATCTCCTAATTAGTCTGAAGGACATCCGCCCCTATGCTTTAAAATGGTCAACTGTTGTGTGTGGGTGTGTTCTGGCTAATCTGCAGCCTCCTCAATCAGTGTGGATGATGCCGTTAAATACATGGTTATGTGACAGTTTGACAGTCTGTCTCTCTCGTGCTGGATTGTCCCTCTGAAAGTAGGGATTGTATAGTTTATTAACAATGGTTTAAAAAGTGTCCTACTTAAATGTTACATTTAAACTTCATAAAAACTTCTGTAATCCCACACAGATCCAGCGGACATGGAGAGGATTCTTTGTGAGGAAGTATATCCATAACTTCTATGCACGAAAAAAGTATATGGAAGGACTTGTCATGAAAAATGAACTAGTCAGGTGAGAAAAAATAGTTTCATTTATGAGACCTTAAGAGACCTGAATTAATTTTTATCTTTTTATTTCGTTTTATTTTCCTGAAACTCACTTGAAGTTGTGTTGCTTTTGTCTTTCTCACATGGCCAGTACATGTGTCAGCATTCTTCTAGATAGATTATAACCGATATAATACAATATCTTCAATTAAAGGAAGCAAATATGGGGTACCTTTTTTGCACAAAGGAATGCAAACTGGAAAGGATAAAAAACTTAGCCTTAATATGTTCTGTTAGAACATGGTGTATCTTTGCCCACTGACTATGGCCTACTATATAGCCTATCAATCAAAATGAATTGATTTGATTAATGTAAAGACAGTTGTCTGAAAGGTGTATTGTGTATGCTTAACCAAAACACATGACTGGAGTAACGCGAAAGGAAAAGTGAGGATATGAAAGAGACTGAGAGACAAAGAGAAGAGAAAGACAGAAGAGAGAGAGAGAAGTCCTCTAAAGCGCTTGAGGCTAAGAGAGAAGTGAACGATGTGAAGAAATTAAAAATTAGCCTCTGATTTGAACCGCAGCTCGTGCATTAATAAAACATCCTGCGCTTCAGGGCTTACTGCTAGAGATACACCATCTTTTATTTTTGACAAAAAAAACCATCACGTTTAGCTAATAGTCACATTTTTAATGTTGCTAATATATTTTACAGGAAAATATCTTTAGGCTTCCTGCTAAAATTAAATGTAAATTTGTTAAAGTGCTCCTTGGATCACCGACTCTCCCCCCCTCACTTCCCCAGCAGCGTTTTACCTTTCCTCCACGCTCTTTGCCCCTTTTAGAAATAGGAGTGACTAGGCTGTTAAAGTCCATCATGGAAGAGTTGCTGCTATAATATAACACAAAAATGAGCACACACAAAGACATGTCAACTACGTTAAGTATTCTGACCAGTCACTGGGATTATTTTGCTTGTAATGTCTTAATGAAATTTAAGACATTACAAAAGTACAAAAAATGATTCATAGTAAAAAGTATTCATAATCAGGCCAAATTTTAACCACACTGTAATAAAGCTACAATAAGGAAACAATCAGACCATTGATCTGAACTGAACATCACTTCATAGGACTAGATTAGATTAATTCAGAAGTATGCAAGCTATAGCTTTTAGTTTGCAAGGACCTTGCCTAAACAGTATATGCATATACTGTGGCTCCTGTCTCTTTGCACCTTTTGCACAACTTACAACAGTTAACAAAAATCATAGGAATTGAAATTTAGAAACAAGGAGCTATAAGGATAAAGTGACCAGCTATGTGATGCTATTTCATTTTAGGATTCTGGTCTTATGCTTTTGTTATCAGCCGTGGTACATTCACACTCTTACTCATACACACATTTATGCAAAAACACACATACACACATGCACATGCAGCCCCTCCTCCACAGTGGTTTGGGGTACAAGGTCACTTTCACTTCACTTAATCACATGTTTATTTAGTGCTACTGGGGTCACGATCAATTAACGCCGTGCCGGCATTTATTTAAAATATCCTTTCTCTGTTAGCTGCTAAGCCCTCGGATTGCACACTGCCTGATCACTAACCCTGCAAAGGTCTGCTTTTTAATCCATCACCATGCTCCCTGCCTCCGCAAGTGTGTCCATCCGTCTGTCCAACCACTGCATAAATTAATAAATTCAAAGTCAGATGAATGATCTCCATTTATTGAAGGCTGATCAGCTGTGCATGGTAATGATGTAGGAGTATTGCATATTTTCCCTTCACTGTCTTTGTCCTTTTTCATTCTGATTCTCCATTCCAATCTCTTTCTCATGACAGAGCTCCCCAGTTCAAAACCATCTGTATCATTTCATTAGGTACAACTAATCCACGCCACTTACACCATCCTCTTTTATCCACCGCCCTCTCTCCGCCTCCCTTTCTTAATCTCTGCCTCTCGCCTCTCTCTTTCTCAATCTATTTTGTTCGATATCTTTCTCTCTTGCTCTCCTTGCCACAGGTTCACAATGCTTTAGTGTCCATCCTCATTCATCCTTCCTCTCCTTCTGCATAGCCTAATGAAGTCAGGACCCCAGTGCAGTCCCCACTCTGCCACAGTTTTCCTTGATACCCCAACAATTTATCACTTTGTCAGGGAGACACTTAAAGTTCCTGGGCTTTAATAAGGGCATGCTGTGGGACGATGGGGGCAATTAGGAAAGCGGAGCAAGTCCACTTTGCATATTTACTAAATGTGCTGGTGTCATCGTTGCTGCCACTAGCACGGCCTGTTGACTGCATGAATTATTCCTCTATCTGCAATAAACAGCGGGGTAATTATTACTGCCATAATCAGATAAATAATTCTCCCTGTGATGTTGCAACAACATAGTGAAATCTTTTAACTTATCCTAAAGAGTGCTAAAAAAGGAGGCTCAGAGAGAATTTATGGACTGTCACTAGGCTGAAAAGCACAAGTGTTTTCTTCTCTTCTTTTCTTTTGTGCTGTGCTGTGTCTCTTCGTCTGTCTACTTTTTTCCTGTCTCCCTTCATTCCAGCCTTCTTCATTCCTCCATCTCTTGTGTCCCTCTCAAGGACATTCATGAAAGGAGAGCTGCTATGTCGGAGAGAGTGTGGGTCTGCCCTGCGATCACTCTCCCCTTCTATGCGTCAGTCTTTCTTTTACTGCTCTTCCCTTCTGATCCAGTTTGGATGCAGACAAGTTCTCTCTTCAGTCTGATTGGATTTATATATTCGCTATGTGTGTGTCTGTTGAAGTTTAATGTGGATGCACTGCTACTTGTCTCTTAAGAAAATTACTTTGAGAGTGAACAGTGGACAAAAGTCTGTAATATATTTGAAATTATTTGTTTTTTTCCTCTCAGTTTATTGAATGTGGATTAGCAATATTATCAAAGCTGGGGTTAATTGTTTTCTTAAACACCTTTGGATGGCATTAGTTTTACTACTTTAGTGAATTAGTTAATCAATCGGTCAGTCACTTAAATGGAAAGGCTATGTTATGAGGGTGTTCAAGGCTCAATACATTGAGCTGGCCACTGTCTAAATTGACTGGCTGACTACCCTCTCATTGCCAGCTATTGAATCATTCAATTGGAGCAATTAAAACAGCCAATCAGGTCAAGCCTCCATTAAATATTTAGAACCTGGCCAATTAGCTGCTCTGGTGCTGGCCTGGATGACCGAAGGTGTGGCCTGCTGTCCCACAATGCCTCACTCTCTGATGTTCCATTACTCCTTGATCCCCTGTTTTGAACCAGAGCTTAAATTATTGAGGAAGAAGTGAGAAATGTGGCTTTATTATATTAGACATTTAAATAAGTTAGAAATCCAGGGTGAAAATGTCAGTAAGGGTTTCAGTCATTTAAAAGTACTTCAGGTATGTTTGATTAACTTGTCCAGCGGTTCAGCAGCCATTAAACATAATCTCTAGCCACAGTGCTTCAGGAATACAACATGACAGGCTTAGCGCATTATATGTGCCTAATGTTAATAATTGTTATTCAGTTTTTATTTTATGTCATATATGTATTTTATTATCACATAATCTAAATGGCAGAATATCATGATTCATGAATCATAAATATATGTATTAATATATTTATATAATTGGTGTTTCAACTCCAATTAAGGAATGAAAGTTGTGACATTATTTATTATTTAATTGCACATCATCGCATTTCAAAATTGTTCATGCATGATTATGTTTAGCCCTTTGTTGCACCTCCAGCAGTGGTACAGTATAGTTTAATGTTACTGGGATTAATGCAGTGATTTTTATCCGGCTCACTGCTAATTGTGTGGCACGAAGAAGAGCGTAGATGCAGCTTTGCACAAACAGCTGGAGAGAGACAGAGAGGCACCAGGGAGTTTATTTAATTTCTTCAACATGAAAAGATGGTTTTATAGGGGACAAATCAAGGTTCACATAGAGCAATTAATGATTTATCCTGTTGTAATTAGGTATCAGCTGTAAAGGTAAAATAATTTAACACTTGCCTGCTTTTTTATCTCCTTATTATAGGTAAAAGTGTTCTTTTTGACTTTTACCTTTTTTTGTGTGTGTAAAATATTTAATATGCATAATACATTACATCACATACTGTTAACATGAACTGTTAACTGATAATAATCAATACATTAGCTCAATTTTTGTTTCTGTTGTTATAAAAATAAATGCACAAAAAATTCCCCATAGTTGGACCTGGCTTGGGATCAGTTTAAGGCCTGAAAATGCCCTGTAATCCTCTGAGGAACTAAGGAGATCGATTGCTGTGACTTTAAAAGTGAAATGTTTTCTCTTTATTGCCTTTTTAAATTTTCATAATGTGACTTTTCTTTAAGAAACTAAAGCAAGAACTTCTCTAAAAAAAAGACAGTGTAAATGGGAACATATTTGACTTCAAAATCTATGTATGTAATTTCAGCATTCTTATGCCTTTTCAGATATACAAGTTACTCATTTTGCACACTAATGCACTCCTGTACCATCAGTATTGCTGGCCTTTGACTGTATGTTGAAAACAAGCATACAGTCAAAAGCAAGCGTGTCTCTCTGATTTAGCCTGGAGGATGTGCATTTCTTTTTTTAAATAGCTCCAAATTATATTTTTTTACTTGAATTTTTGGATGCTTGAAAGAATAATGTTCAGTGACCACAATTTATGGAAGAGTTACTGAGCTCTGTACCATGTCAGCAAAATTGTCACTATTTTAAAGCAGTGTTGCCTTAGATCCAGAAAACTGAACTGGCCTTGTCCTTCGGACACAGAGGTTACTCTATATATTGCCCAACCGTTTTTCTGAAAGTTTTGGGACCTATGTTTTGTTTGTTTTTTTTGTTTTTTGTTTTTTTTTTGTTTTTTGCTTTGTTTTGGGGGTTTTTTTGGGGGGGTAAGGGAGCAGCTGAAAGTGCCTTTGAGTGGCTCTTTTAATGTTTTCTTAAAAATTTAATGTGATAGCTGAGAAAAACTTGGTTTTATGGTGACCCTTCTCTCATACTTCCTTTACTATGCTGGTTCAGATTGTTCAGATTTTTCCTATAATCTGTCACCTATAACTTTATTTATTTTTAATGTATTATAGTAAATCTATACATATGTGTAGAATTTTAGTTAAAACTAGCAATAATTTTTTTTTCTTTACAAGAAATTAGTTTAGGCTGATAAACCAGACGTAGCACATGTTCCAGAGCTGTTCCAGAGTTAAACATAGTGTTTCTTTCTTTTCAATTTTACTCAGTCAGTCGCACACACATTTATAAACACAGACACACACGCGCGCACACACAGGCGCGAGGGCATGTGCTGCTTGCTGAACAGGGCTAACGAGGGTTGTATGTTGTGGCGGCTGGTTGGGTCGACACAGATCGAGGTGCCTTCAGCCGTTACAAATCTGTTTGGCTTTTGTCCACTACAGAGCAATTAATAACACTGGGGCTGGGGGTAGGGAAGCAAAGGTCACTCATTGAGCACCCCCACCCCCCCAACACACACATATATAGATACATATACACATACAAGCAAAGTGTACATACATTTAGTATAAAAACAGATACACATTTGCATATTTATGATAAATGCACAAACTGCTACATTCTCAGTTAAACTGTTTCAGCCCAGAGACATATGTATGAAAATATGAACATATGAACAAAGGTCCTGATCCCCTGAAACATTACTACAAGCTTTTTAAGGTGCTATTAAGAATTGAGCAAACAGAAATGACGACATATATACAGACATGCACATATCGTGGAGAACACCGTCCCTAAACCAGGACTTTAAATGTTACATTAATAAGTAATATCCCTGTTAGCTAGGTGGACAAATAGAGGCCAAGCAACCTCAATATTTACTCCCCACACACCTACACTATATTAAATTACTGTATTTAATATTACACAAATGCACATATTTAGATTCACTCTTCTTCTTTACACACCCGCAAGCATTTTTCATTTATTTTGTAATTGAGTCTGGTGCTGAAGAATGAATGAGAATGCACAGGCAATGGGAATTTGTTGTGATTTGTTTTTAAATGTCAGTAGCCACAGAATGTGTTAACCTCAGATTACTGACACACTTTGAATACCCTGATTCTTCTATGGAGGATTGTAATTGAAAACAGAAGTTGGGTAGAGGGGGAAAAAAACAGCGGAGAAGAAGTAAGGAAAAAAGGAGGGAAACAGACACGGGATTCTTGATGAGCTATGGTTAAACTCTTATTGGTATTGTGCTCTTGGAATTAAATTGGTTTTACTCCTGCTTTGTGTGTGTGTGTTTATATTATGACGACATGTGTGTATTTAGTAATTGTTTCCAATTCCCCTTTTAAGTTATCACCACTTTGTAACAACATTGCTGTGTGGTTGTGGAATTAAATTGCTGTGTGTATGGGGTTTTAATGCATCCCATTTAGCCAGCTTCGCTTAACAGATGTCATAGACAGACCTGTCCTGGCTGCCATGATGAAATATATCAATCATCCTCCCACTTATAGCCTCTTACGCTCTTATTTTGCCTTTTTTTCTTCTATGCAGTGTCATTCTGTTGTTTTTGCCCCAGAGCTCCTCTGTCTTTCCATGTATGCCTCAATGTGATTAGGTAGTTTTTTTTCCTTCATCTGAAGGACACTTTAGGGAATTGTCAGCTTTACGACCAACAACTGTTTCCCAAATACATAATAACACATGCACAGATGTACTTGTCTGAAGTTTACACCGTTAACAAGTTATTGATTTATTTGGTGTTAAGATATAGTACTTCGTAAGGTGAATCCTCAGAAAATGTGTAATATAACACATTAATGTAGTATTAAAAAAACATTAGGCTTACTTGTTAAACCAAGTGGTATAGAGTTAAATGTAATCAAAATACAGAGTAATGTGCATTTAGTCATTGTCATTCACAAAACATACTGTACATGAGTATATAAATATGATGAGTTATTTCTACTATATGAATTATAATGATTGACAACTTAGGAATTGGAGAAATTATGTCTTAACTGTTATATTTAAAAAAAAAAAATTATGCTATTGTTCACGTGTTATTGTAAGGTGACCTTGAGGGTCTGAAAGGTGCCTATAAATAAAATGTATTATTATTATTATTATTATGTAAAATGATTTACATTTATTATACATGTCTAACTAATGCATACCTATTGTAAAGCCTAATGAATCCGAAGTGCAAGAATCTTTGTGTGTCGTTTATGTTCCCTGCAGGAGGGAGCTTGATCAGCTGGAAGATCTCCAGAAAAGGGAGAGAGACTGTCTGGATATGGTGAAAGAGCACACTGCCAAAGTCTATCAAGCTCATCGGTTACATCATCTCCTTAGTACAAAGCAGGTGGGCTTATGGAAACACAAACACATTCAATTTTGCACACATTTTACAACAATGTTATAATGATTAGACTAATATTTAACCAGAGGGAAATGTACATATTAATTTTATGTTAACCAGAGCTACATGAAAATAGCGCAGTTTAATAAAAATACTGTAATGAATAAAAAATTGTTGGACTAGTGACAGTAACACGTATTGACTTTGTAATTCCAAAGTGACCTTAACTGCGGTTATGTATGGATGCAAAGTCACTTCAGATGACACGAGAAACGCATCCCTGTGGATTGACTTCACATTTGTGTAGCACTCACCCATACAGCTATGCACAATTATGTGCATGCTCAGATACATATGCAGGCACACACATGGGCATTGAGCTCAACATTACAAAGAGGTGGATTCCTACAGAAACGGGCTACACAGAGAAATACCACAGACCTTTTCCTTTCTATTAGTCAACAGAAGTGGGCCGTGTGGAGTTCAGTTGCGCATGTGCAAACATAAGTGTGAGTCCTCACGGTTGTTCTGATGTGCTCAGTCTGATGCTTCCCATGGCAAAAGTGTGCACATTTGTAAATGGTAAATGGACTAGTACTTATGTAGTGCTTTTATACTCTATTTGAGCGCTCAGAGCACTTTTTTTTTACCGTATGCATCATTCAACTATTCACACACACACATCATGCTTTTCTCTATGCCTAAGCATTTTTAGCGTGGCAGCCACACACTCTTAGTCCAGTGGATGCATTGGAAATAACTCGTTGTTTAGTATCATGCCCGAGGATACAGCAACAGACTAGAGAATCTGGGGATCAAACCACCAGTTAGCGGGCGAGCCACAGCTATCCTTGTGTTCATATGTGTGTGGCATCTACGCATCTTTGTGACTCCTCACTGTGATAATAATGAAGACAAAGCACAGTGGTCACTGTTGATTCAGCACTAGCATTCTGCTTGCTCTCTCTCTCTCTCTCTCTCTCTCTCTCTCTCTCTCTCTCTCTCTCTCTCTCTCGTGTCTTTACAACTAGCATCATCACTGTCTTGCTGTCTACTGTCCTCAGACATCCCATGTTCACCGAATTTTCACACAATTGCATGAAGTTGATGTAAGCTGGAATGAGGTTAAGTTTGCAGTTTTTACACATCAGGCTTGATTCTTAAAATACTTTAACTCGTGGGTATCCACATAATTTGTGTTACGTTTCTGTAACTCTGTTATCGTTATTTTTAAGTACACGCTAGAAAGAATGAAAGTTTATGTGCTCTTCTCCGCCCTCTGTCCATCTTTCTCTATATACTTCCCTCTCTTTCCCTGCATATGGCAGGGGACTCTTTCCCTTCGTAGCTCTGACCTTGTCAGCAGTGAATAGATGGCTCTCCCACACAGTTCATCCTTTCTCACTTCTCAGACCCCAGCCCACACACACACACACACACCAAAATACACAGACTCACATCCAGCTTACCAAAAGGCCCCAAGTCCCTCTGACAGAGACAGAGATGCTGTGTTCCTGGGGTCAACATCATTGCTCTTCCCGTAGCTAGGTTGGTACTTGGTACTTTTTGGGCTTATGTGTTGTGTTTGTGTATTCGTGTGTGTCTTTAGGGGTGGTGAGATTTACTTTTGTTTATGCGTTGTGTGTATCTGTGTATTTTGCTGGCTTTCTGTCACTTCCTATTTGACTTGTGTACTGTCATCCCTAAAGCAGAACATTTCTCCTGTAGTTTCAAGCAATTTCCAAGATACTGATTGGTGTTGATCATATAAACTATTCTTATGACTACTCAGTCCATACTTTTAATTAGTTTACTACTCTATTGGGGTGAGGCATAACATTTACTAATTTAGTTTTTTATCTATAAGTAAGAACCATTTAATATAACTTATTATTGGTTGTAGAAATATATTTGACAACTGCTTCAAGATATTTTTGTTCTCAAGAGGGACCCTATGCATGATTGATTACTGATTTTGATTATTAGTGAAAAGTTGCCCCACTGTCACTTTGAAATTTTAGTCACTGCTTAGCAGCTAGCCTGGGACCTGTTTATCGGTCACCACTGTTTTTAACTGCAACTGGCAGTCTAACAGTGGTACTTCCTTTGCTTTGAATGTCCCCTGCAATCTAGAGGAGGTCTCTAATGAGAAGAATGAGCAAGTACTGCTCTTAACAACTAAAATCCATGATGGTGTAGTTGTCCTGGGATGAGATTCACTAGAGGTGCATGTAATTATATTGCTTCATTATTTTTTTCTCATAGTGTACTTGACAAGTAAAATATTTGCTGAACACAACCTTTTAAATGTTACATTAAAGTGTAAGATTAATCTAAGAAAGCACACGTGTATGCATATATACATGATTACATATATGCGCATGCACATATTCTGCCGTTACATATAGGATCTAAACCTATGGGAAACTATGACGTTGTATAATAACTACTTTCAACTACTCCCTTAGTCACAAGGAGTTTTGATTTGGTAGATTTTCACATTGGATGTCCTTCCTGACACAATCCCCCAAGTTATTTGTATCAACACCACTATTTTTTAAATAGGTACGTATTGTGCTATTATCAAGCTGTACCTACAACCCAGGGTCAAAAAAATTGCAGTGAATAAAGTGGAATTTCTTTATTTTTTCTTATAACGCAATGGATGATATTTAGACCAAAAGTGCTTATGATCTAATAGTGACACATTTGCTATTTTACTAATTTGTTAATATGTTATTTTAGAAAGAGCGAGGTTTGGGAGGATGTAGTTAAAGCTGTATGTGTTTCTCTCTCTCCCTTTCCTTCTTGTTGCAGTCTTTTAGAGTGGAAAGCAGTGTTATTAGCATATAGAACAACTCAAAGCTTTGGTCTGGTAATTAAGACACAGGCAAAAGAATAACTGTGGTTTGAATAATTATCATCAAGGCTGTCTGTGGCAAATCTGTACCCCAGTTCAGAATCGGAGAGGCACAGTTTTAAGTATGTGTACTTGTGTGTGTGTTTAGGATTTTCATCTATCCATTCTTCTATTCTGTATTCATTTAAGATAACACCTTTTTAAAGTGGGGATATTTGGGGGAGGTTAATATGGATTACATGACCATTGATAGGGAAGAAGGCTGATGGAAAATTTTAACACAATTGATGTTTAGTAGCTAACAATTGTTAGTTTAGTCCCTGTCCCAGTAGGTGCCCATTCTGAGATTTGATGTTCCTCTTCATAAACTGAATTCTTTTTTTCTCCAAAATCTAAATTAAGTTATATATATATTTATTTAGTACTGAAGCATCCATGTGGACAGCCAGGTGCTTAAAAATCAGTGCCCCAAAATCATTTTCGCTTTATGTCTATGTCACTCCATAGAGCCTGTTTTTTTTATTTCATATTTTTAGGTCTAGTACATTCTTATTAAATGCTGCTGCATGTCTTTTAACAGGTGCTAGAATGTATGAACATATCACTCCAGTTTTAGGAAATTTACACTGGCTCCCTGTTGATTATCGTATTCATTTTGAGATTCTTTTGCTTACTAGTTTTAAATGGTATGGCGCCCAATTATTTAAGCAAACTCTTCAACATGTGTAACCCCAAAAGAGCACTGAGATCGTCCAGCCAGATGCTCTTAGTACAACCGAGGTCTCGATTGAAGCATAGAGGAGATCGGGCCTACGCAGTCGCAGCACCTAGACTCTGGAATAACTTAGCCACTTCAGAGTCTATTCAGTCTTTCAAATCACATCTTAAAACGCACTGTTTATGTTGGCTTTTAGTTCAGTTTGAGTACCATCAGGCTTGTTTTACGTTTGTTATGGGGGTTTTTTGTTTTCATGTTATACATTGTCATTGCCTCATCTCATTTATCTGTATTTGTTTTTCTATTGTTTTCTCATGGTCTTAACTAATTGTGAAGCACTTTGGTCAACTAAATTGCTTTTAAATGTGCTATAGAAATAAATTTGATTTGATTTTGATTCATTAATTTAAAAAAATTTAATTACTAGTAAGAAATACATTTTAATCTAATGACTTTAAAATCCTAATTTAATGTTTTCACGCTTTTACCCTCTCTCTCTTTTTTTCTGTTTCCTCAGTGCCCAGGGGTCTTCAACTCTCCATTCAGGCCAGCTCCTCATGAGATGGAGCTGCTGCTGAGGCAGCAGGTCAAGTACCAGGCCCCCACCAGGCTGGCCTCCAGGGGCAAGGCTTGTCTCTTGGGCATCCCAAGCTCAACAAGCTCTAGTTTCCCTGTGACTCTTGGATCCCCATTGATCAAAACCTCTAGAACTTATAGCTCCAGGCCCATACTGCCTCCCATTGCCAACAAGACACAGCAGGTGACGGTGGTCAAAACGTTGCCTATAAAAGACATAAACAAGTAGAAAACAGATAAATACAGTAGTATAAAAGCAGATATACAAGAGATGAGATGTGATGGTGTGAAAAACTGGATTTAAGCATGTTCAAGAGGTGAAACAGACTGTTAGTTTAACAAAGTATCATACTAATTATTAAAGCCTTCAACATCACCTTCCTTCCTCATGGGGGATGGTTCTTGATGAAAGCAGAGATCCTTTAAAACTCCTTTTAAAGAAGAATGACATCATTAGCATGGCAGACAGCTCTCCTGGGGGCTACTGCATAGAGTCGTTTAGTGCCTTTATTTCAATGAGTACTCTGTGGGACTATGTAGTTATGTGTTACTATATTTGTGCACCACAGTGTGTGCGTGTGTGTGTGTGTGTGTGTGTGTGTGTGTGTGTGTGTGTGTGTGTGTGTGTGTGTGTGTGTGTGTGTGTGTGTGTGTGTGTTTTAAAATTGCATGCACAGCTCTGACTAGTGGACCACAACAACATGATATGTGCTGTGTCAGGTAACGATTTAACTGTACAATTATCCACAATTTTGTTGTCCAGGTACAATGACAATAAAGGGCTCTTCTGTTCTAAATGTAAACTAATACACATTCACATACACATTCCACTTGAATTTGAAGTTTAGATGTATGTATTTGTTTCTGTATATTACAGATATATATGGATAATTTTGTTAAATTCCATGGAAACATGCATTATATTTCCATTAAGCAAATAAGCGACATATATACATTCAACAGAAATTAAAATTTAATTTGATAAATAATAAATTTAATAAATTAGTATTTTTCTGATCTTATATGTTGTGAACACATTTTCTTCTTTTTTTTTACAGAAATTGTTTTAACAATATATTGCTTTGTCCAAAATGATCAAGAATAAGTGTTCATTTTAAAGAGTAAATTTTCATCAAAGACCTTTGGACATATCATAGAGAGAAAAGAACAGATTTGCCACTGTTTCATATTGAACTATCACATAATTATGACAGTTACCAGTCAAAATGTGTACTATATTAATCCAGTGGCTGATAAAAATAGACGAACCCTGAGTTGCCACTATTTGAATATTTACTTTGGTTGTTCTCAACTGAGAATTTGTCTTGGTTCAGTAAAGGATAATCCAGTTTGTGACTGTATGTGTCATGTGTCTGTGTTTGCATTTGTGTGTATGATGATGATTTGAGTGCTATTGAAGAGCAATATTTTCCACTCTGTGGCTCTTTATGGCAAATTGCTTTCCCTAGTATTAGTTTCTAGTAATGTAAAACATAAGTGAGCAGAAATGAGGCGTACATTTGTCTCCTTTTATTAGCTGCAGTTCATACACTTACATACACATGCAGGCATGTCTCCAGCTGGCCGAAATGGGAATAGGTTTATTAATGGTGTCCTAGGAAAGTCTCTATGGTTGATATGAAGAATAATTGTCTATATTTATACATGTGTGCCTCATAGTGTGTCTTTTTTGTGTGTGTTCAGCTCGTGTCATTAGTGCAGGAAGTCCCCTTTTCTTTTGCACTCACCCCTACATCCCACACCCCCTCCATCTCTGGTGTGATAACTATCTAGTGGTGATGGATAAGGTTGAGGTGCTGGCTGTGGAAGTGGTCAGGCCAGGCCAATGATCCCGTGGTGATAGGAGCAAGGACAGGGTCTCTGTCTCTCTCCTCCTCATTCTCCCTCCTTTTTTTAACACCAAACAACAACTGAAGGTCACCTTAAACATAGCGAAAACATTTAAGTTAATCTGCATTCCCAAAAGTTTAGCCGTTATTCGCACAAGTTCTTAAGTAATGTAGTCTTAGAGCATCCACTTTGAGATTTGACTTCGCTGGACACACGGACAACTCACACACACGCACACACACACACACACACACACACACACATACACACATATATATTCCAACAAGCTTGTTCACCTTTGTTCTTGCACTTAGCCTGAACTCTCTTAGGCAGCTTTCTTGTAATTTCTGTAAGCAGTCTATTTCTCCAGCCTTCTTGGACATAAATCCAGAGCTCTACCTTAGATGTTAGCTGGATGTACTTCTTCAGTAATGTTGAGGTCCGGGCTCTCGGGAAGCCAATCCATGACTGATAGTCTTCCATGGTGTGTTTTTGTTTTTTTGTTGTGGGTTTTTTGTGTTTTCTTTTTTAATCCAGATGTAGTTTTTTGTGCATTGGCAGTGTTTTTGGATCCATTGCCATGATGATCTCTTCTTCTTGTTTGACTCCTCAAATATTTTAAGGACAAACTGCACACCATACTGAGATGTGCCAAGTTTTCAGCTTATTAGCTCCATGGGAATCACTGTGTTATCTTCCGCATGTTCTCTAAATTTAACTAATGAATTGATAATAAGTGACAAAGTGCCTAAAGATACCAATTAAAATAGGTTCTTCGAAAAGTTGTCTGGTTTATCCCTTGAGTTACGCCTTTTTTATGATTGAGTGAATCATAGTAAATGTAATGTGGCTTAACGAACAAACAAAAAGAGAGCCTGAAGAACTATTGTTCAAGACCATTTGTAAAAAATCATGAGAAAGTCAGTCTCCATGGAAGAAAAATAAAAAGAAATGAGGGGTGGCTCAAGACTTTTTAATTGTGTGTGTGTTTCTTCAGTTTACCTTAACAATTTAACAACATTAACACAGATATTATGTAAGTTGACTTCTTAAATAAACTGAGTTTAAATAAACTCAGCTTATTTAAGAAGCCAGACAATTCATAATTTAGTCTTTTCCGTTGAAATCACTGCTATATTTACAGAAAACCATTCCACACCCCACACCCAACCACTTACCCACTAATCTCAGCCATGGTCTGAGTAACCCTCATCCCTCTGGCCACTTACGCAAAGACTCTATACTCCAAAGTCTTTTGCACAACATTCAAGCACTTTTCAACTTGTCATTGTTACTGTGTGCCTTTGTTTTTATATATATGTTCTTCTTGTTTGTTGGTTATTCCAGTCTTCTTACTATTTATATTTCCTGCACAATTGTTGCACTTTTAACAGGAAGAAAACTCTGGCAGAATCAGGCTCAGGGAGGGGCACCCATATGCTGGAACTAATTGGGGGTGAGGGGAAAAGAAGAGAACAGGGAAAAAGATCCACTATCATATTCATTTAGATTTCAATTAACAAATCACCACAAAAGCCCAAATCATGATTTTAACCCATTGCAGACAGTGTCCTCATTGCTCCAAAACTGTCTTCTTTTTAACTGATACCCCTCCCATCCCCCTCTCTCCAAAATTGAACTAACATGCTTGGTTTTACTTCTCCTGCCACTTGATCTTTTTTATTCTTTCTCTACACTTAGCCTTTCTCCTGTCACAAGAGAAGAGATGCAGAGGACTGACCTCTGTCTTTTTTTAATTCTGCAAAAGAGTGATTTTTGCGATCAGTTTTCGACTAATGTACTGTCTATTTTGTCTGTCCTTATTCCAGGGTCTTTACAGAGAAGCAGGAGAGGCTTGGGAGCAGCGCTTGCATTGTCGTGAATTGATGTTATGTCTGCAGACCTCTTACATGCACCTAGAGGAGGCCCAGAATCAGCTACGTGAACTCGAGCCAGTGAGACTTAGGTTTGTACAGGAGTTCTCTGTCCGACCTGTCTGGATAATTCTTTTAGATTGGATACAATATATTAGAACATTCATACATTAATCTAACATAATTCAGCTACAGGTATGTCCAAGTCCATTGTTTGGTGCGTTTTAACAGATATTATTTACTGCAAATAGTGTCTGTATTAACTCGATACTAGCAAGAAGCTGTTCTTTGAGTGAGCACTGCTGAAAGAGATAGACACAATTTTTCATTGTGGGGTCTGTACAGAAATGTTACTAAAAAGTTATAATAACATAATAATCCAGTGTAAGCTATATCCTTGCATGTGTCTTGTGTTGGTATTCGCCTCCTCCTTTTGATGCTCTATGTTAAATTGAGTTCAGTTTAAGCTGTATTTTATCAAAATACTGGTGTTACTGAAATATGTGGAGCTCCACTCTAAACATTTGGGATCAAGATTCAGTGAAGCCCTACAGGACAAAAGAACAAAGCTTTGGCACTAAACTCACAGCTTTGTGCTGTCCATCTGTGCCAATTACGCGCTAATTCTGATAAAGTTGCTTGCTGGCATCCCTAATATAGCAAAGCTCCCAGCTGCAACTTTCAGCTATTCTGGTGCAAAATAAGACATGCTTTCATAATTAAATATGCCACTATTTGCAGTAAATTGCTTCCCGCAAACTCTTAGTTTCAAAACTGACACTGCACCATCTCTAGTAAATCCTGACAGTAGTTTTATATCCATGGAGGGTTTTACACCAGTGAATCTAGCCCTATAAAAGTGAAAGACATGCTTAGCAAACAACAGTTTTAATAAAACCAATCTGAAAACCTGTGTGCACTATATTGTATAACTTTGCTGTTTCTTGTTGTCTGACACCCAGAGGAACAGGAAGTACACTTCACCATTTGAGCCACAGCAGCAGTTCATTTCCTCATCCAGCCCATACCGGCAAGAGCTTCAGATGATTAATATACACTGGTTATCAGAGGAGGTATGATGAAAACTAAAAAGACTAAACAAAAAGAAAAAAAATCATTTGTTTGTTTATTTATTTAATTATCCCATGTAGAGGGAATGGTCTGAATGGGCTAAAAGCTGTTGTAAAGGGTTTATATGGTTGAATTAGTTTGATCCTAAGGTATAATTCTTCTTCTAAGAAAGACATGAAAAAACAGAGCAGCACAACCTAAACCTTTCAACTTGTGTTGCACAAATTTGTCAAAAGTGACAGCAATTTAATAAATCGCCACTCTCCATCACACGCATATCTACACCCACCCACACCCATACACACAATTCCCAGCTATGCCCTCCACTGCCCCTTCTCCATGTATACGTAAATGAGGTGTATGCATTGATGTGTATGTGTGGGTATGTTAGTGAGAGAATGTGTGAGCGTGGGCCCTGCGGTCTGGTCCAGGCATTAGGTAATTGACTGTGTCTTTGCTCAAGGCCTTTCATGGATCACCGTCCTTTATTAGCTCACTTCCCAGCACACACACTCGCATACGTGCACATCCACACACACATACACAAAGTTCCCAGCAGCTCCACCCCAGCCCCTTACTCCCCACCAGCAACCAGACCCAATTGCCCGGAAACAAGGAGTGAAACAAGAGAGAGAGAGAGAGAGGAGCAAGGGAAAAAGGAGAGAGCAGCGACAGGGGAATGAACTAACACGGCCCCAGGAAGTGGAGATAAATAAGTATGAGGAGAGAGTGAGTGGGTGAACGGGGTCTCCTCAAACTGACAAGAGAAATTGAGGGAGTACGATCCATATTTCACTGTATCATGTTTGTCAAATACAATTTTAGGAAGGTTGTAGATCTGCATTGGTGGTAGTATTTTGACTTTGCCTATCGCCCTAGCCCCGTTTGGGTGAAAAGTACCTGTCTAGACAAAACAGGAAACAAATGTCCCAAATATGCTGTTGAACTAACGCAGGTTCACAGCAAAGCTGCATGGCAGTTTTAACTGTGTGTTAACGGGCATACCCACTGATTATCAAATAATATGTCGGTAAGTATAAGTGTGAATTAGAATGAGATTTGGTCATTTAAATGGTGGGATGAGCCAGGATTCATTTATTAAGTTGATTCATTTCTTAGATAAGTATGTGTGTGTGTTTGCTGACACGTTTAGCTATTTTCTATTATTTTATTTTATCTCAAATCAAATATTTGCTAAACGTATTCTCTGTATAGTATAACTTTGCCATGCAGGATGTTGTTGAGGAAGATGATAAAGACAGTAGTTGCCTGTCCTCGGCCCAGTCCTGTCATACTGCTGTCACTCAGAACTCATCAAACCTCACATCTTTCTCTCAGAGATTCTGTGTCTTTGTATCTCTCTACCTCTGTTTACTCTCTCTCTCCTCTCACTCTGTGATAATTAGTGCATTAGTCCTATCATTGGCATCACCGTGAGCTATAGCAGCAGCCAGCGGAGCTTCTTGTCACATCTCACAGGGCCAGTGGAGTGGACAGCTCAACCCTGGTACTCATCATCTTCATACCGTGCCTAGCCAGCCTCCCCCCAGCCACATTATTTAGCTATGTTATCCAGCCATGCTCCTAATTATTTTCAAATCCTAGCCATAGCCCTCTCACCCAGTCTCTGCCACATTACCTAGCCTTGCTTGTAATCATCACCTTAAGCGTTGCTTTAGCTTCTCCACACAGCCTGAAGCCTCATCATTAACATACCCCAGTTTTTTTTTTCTGTTTTCTTTGGCTTGACCATCACAGCTCTTGGCAGTATGTACACAGCATCCTCAGACCAAACCAAGCCCTAGAAATAGCCTGTGACTCCTGGACCTTTATTTACCTTAGCCATCTGGGTCACAATATGAAAGTCTGTCAGTGTACACACACACATATCCACATGCATCCACACAAATTCACAAAAATGCCAGTCCCTGCCTCTTGAAAAGCTGAGTTCCCTGTCTCAGGCCAAAGAGCGCTGTGTAAAGGTTGCCCCTTTTCTTGCCCATATGTCTGCTTACCCTTTTTGCCTATGTTCCTGGTAATCCTGTTATGCCAGCACAACAATGATGGTTATTTTACTCGTTAGTTCATGTTATATTATCATTGTTATTATCATTGTTATTTCAGGAGAAATAAAGTGATAAAGAGCAAAATGTAGGTTATTGGTAAGCAACACATTGCCTGTAAGTACTGTAAGATAAAATGCTATAAAAGATTGTGAACCAGTTACATGCTCCAGCAAAGACTAATTTCAAATGCAGATATGGGAAAGCCCTCTGTGTTCATGCTAATTTTGTGGTCGTTATTAGCCATGTCACCAGTGGTTCTGCCTATAACCATAGAAGATAGCTAATTAGGAGGCTACGTGCTAATAAAGTACACTACAGTGAGTGGTCACGTCTGTGTTTATCTGTGCTCCAAGCCTTTCCTTCTCTTTTCATTAGACTGATGTCCATCATAACTTTCAGAGCATCAGGAGAAACTCCCTGATACACACTAAAACACAAGCACTCTTCCCTAGGTCCAGGTCTTTTTAAAATTTTGCTTGTTTGTTTGTTTCTGGTAATTGTTTATTGAAATAATACCAAATATGAGGTCCAGACATAGAGAAAAAATCATTTTCAGAACAGAAGTTAATGCACAGGGATGAAAAGTTAAAGGGCATAAATAAATGAAAACAAATACAAATCAAACTGGACAGGCAGACGAAGAAGGAAATGCATCGACACATAATAGAATATAAATACTAATAAACAACCAGAACAGCAGTGGAGGCAAAAAAAACCAAAAGCATATATAACATCAGTCATAAAAAAAATAAACATAAATTATGTATCAATGGCTAAAAGTAATACCAAGATAGTAATAACAAAGTGGAGGCAAGGCTAAAGATTGTGTTAGCTGTAGCAACGGCTTTGGATCAGTGGACCACTATACAATGTCCATCTTTCTTAATTCTGGCCCTTTCAAGTGATCATATATCTGAAAAGAACGTTGGCCAAATTTGGTCTAAACTATTTTTTAATAATAGTTTTCGTTGAAGCAGCTAATGTTGCAAATTACTCCTGAAACTAATAATGTATTTAAGCTGAGACTAGTATGAAAATTATAGTTCAAAAAATCATATAGTGTGATTATTTTACCAGACTCATAACAGTGAACCCAAAAGTCATTATTTAATAATTTATCTTTAAATCTAGGCTCAGGTGTAAACTGAGCCTAGATTTAAAGATAAATTGTTTTCCTAACTTATAGTCAATATGTGTGGTTTTACAGTAAAGGAAGAAAGACAATTTGTAAATAATAATGAAACTGATCAAATGTTTTCTTGAAATTACCATGATATCACGGAAGACCCTGGTATTCACAACCTTTTAATTTGAATTTACCAATAATAATGCTGCCATGTGGGTATTAAAACGCGAAAAAACTCGTCTAAGGGTGAAAGTCAAAATCAAATGGATTATCAGAACAAATACAGATTGATATACACCAGAATATGTTCTGATTTATCTGTTCTTGTTTCCACAGACTGTATCTAAAAGATAGATGTAGTCTCTGTGTCAACCCTCATTGGTTATCCAAAAGCTGTTATGACACTTTAGGCTTTGCAATCTCATTTTTTTTAACCACTGTGCTTGAATAACAAAGATAACCTAGGACACTGTCAGTTAACTCCAGCTCTAACTAGCTAGATTGGTTAACAAGATGCATTTATGATTTACTGTGATATTGATTCAAGTGATCTATCCGACTCTGCTGCATTAGGGTCCATGTTACTAACCATTACTACTAACCATTTTACAGCCTGTGTAAAACTCTGAAGCCCTGCCATTTGCTCAACCATAAAGCATTTCCCGCCACACCGCTTCCTACTTGAGACCTCAGGCTTATCAGTTAACCCACCAATTCATTTACATTATGGTGACATTTAGGACTGTATACAGAGTAACAGTGAGGGTCAAGTTCACACAGCATGATGTTAAATGGACAGCATCTGCTAAGTAGCAGATATATTTTGGTAAGATTTGAAAGAATGAATGACTTTAGATATTTTCGTTAAAAGATTCTGGACCAAACTTTACCAGATTGAGTGACTTTGTAGAACTTTCTTTCTATAAAATAATAAGGTTGCCTTAATACACCCAACAAAACACCACAACCACTAACAGATTGGCAGTATTGGTGTGAAAATATAAGTTAACTGCAATATAAAACGCTATGTCATCATAGTTATTCCAAAATCAAGATGGAAGTGTTTTTAAGTCTGAGTAGATGTTTTCTTCTCCATGTGTACATAGGTGTCAGAGAAAGGAGGCAGACAAGCTGGATAGGGGTGTCTGTACTTTAATGGACTGCCTGTCCCTGTAAGGATATGCTCCACTGAACCATGCTGTATATAGTGTAGTATAATCACTGTCGATGTCTTTCTCCTTCCATCACTTTTTCTTTGCTCATCTTTGCTATCTTCTTTATTTGCATATGTTCTCTTTTTCTGACTTCTTCATCTGTACTACCAACCAGTAGCTTTTTCTACACCCCTTTCCCCATTCTTGTAAAAAATATCTGAGTGCATATATATATATATAGAGAGAGAAATATAAATGGATTGTGATGAAGCTAAAATGTAGATCAAAGACTGTATATAAAAAATGGACATATTACCCATGGCATTATTCTGTTTATTTATATAGTTTTATTTATATAGTTTCAAATCACAAAAAAGTTGCCTCAAGTTGTTTTATACAGTAAGGTAAAGATTGCAGTTTTAGAAAGAAAACCCCAACAAACAAATGACCCCTTATAAGCAAGCACTTTGCGAATGTGGGAAGGAACAACTCCCTCTTAACCTTCAGCAGAATCAGACTCAGCAAGGGGCAGGCATCAGCTGCAACAGGTCATGTCTTGGTTTTTGAAACAATATAATTTTTGGTGTCACTATTTTAGTTTTAAAAGCCAGAAGTGACCATTGGGTATTTGGGTAGCTTAGGAGCCCACCCAAAAA